AATATATTAAAAAAAGTCCAACAAATTTAACAAAATAAAGTAAGTATTAAATGAGAAATAATAAAAAATTACAATTAAACAAAATAAAGTAAATACAAATATAATAAAAAAATCTATCGATGCTTGCGTCGCGAATGTGTACTGCAGGGCGGTAGCTGTCGGTCTCGAGGAGGATTTCTTCGTATCACTGGTTCTGACTCCTCGCTGTCATTATCGTCGTCGTCGTCCTGAGCAGGTACATTAGGTTGATGAGGAGCTGATGATGATGAAGCACCTCTATAGAATAAGGACCCTGGATTTGTATGACTGACTATCCCACCGACCTGCGAAAACTGGGAAAACTAGGAAAACCCATACATCGCTGAGTGTGAAAACTGTACATGAGGTGTCTGTGCTGCGGCCATGGGTGATGAGGCTGAACCCGTAAAATATACAGTATATGAACCCCAAGTTAGATCTACAAACATAGACCCATAATAGCCTCCAGGAGGGGTCATCTGTGATGGTGGTGGCGGCGGGGTCATAAAACTAGGTGAAGGCGGCGACAACGGCATCTGGTAATGGAAAGGCGATGGAGACATCATATATGGCTGCGACATCATAAATGGCTGCGGTGGCTGCTGTGAAGGTCCTGCTGGTACAGCTGAGGATGAACCGGAAGCACCTTCTCTCCGTCCACGAGTCGTGGGACGATGGTGTTGTGTCGGTGAATGTCTCTGTCGACGTCGTGGAAAGGTCTGCCCTCGTGCATCCTCGGGAAGTAGAAACGGTTTTCCGTTAATGTTGAACCACTCATAAAAATCCTCAGCATACATCAAGAAGTCAGTAAAAATGGGCTCTCTACATGGAAGGCACCGATGTCGATCCTCCCACAACACGACCCACTCATGATGCCTCACCAGCCAATCTGTATCTGTCTTGCTGCGTCTATCTAAGCTATGCAACTCGTCCATATTGCGAGGTGCTTCCAGAATTGGTTGAAAACAACCAAACTGCCGGAGCACGCGATCAGTGGAGTGCCACTCGACAGTCGTATAACAGATTAGAGGGACCATCGCCATCCAAACATCTGATGGACCCCTCAACTCAGGTGGGATCACCGCCTTCACATCATCAGTAGAATACGGCACCCATTCAAACTAAAACAAATAATATATAATTTTTATCAAAATAATAATCTAATTATATAACTATAATCTAAAATCGATTTTTAAACATTAAAATTCATACCTGTGTGCCAGCCTTCTGATCGATTAGCACCCTAATTGTTTCTAAATCATCAGGTAGCTCCTGATGATTTTTCCTATCAGTAGACCACCTATTCAAGGAAAAAAATTATTATACGTTGTATAAAATTATTAATATACAAAATCAGTTTTATAATTACCTCAGAAGTAGTGGAAATACGAATGGGTTCTTCACAACGGGACATAAAAAGGGCAATCGATACCATGCCCAAGATTGCAGCAGTAGGAGACATCCGCCGATAGCATTACGCCTGTAGTCAGTGGCTCCACACATCTCCCTGTACAACAAAGCCAAAACTGCCGAGCCCCAACTGAATGATCCGACGAGACGAAAGTCGCTAAGATGTCGCAATCACATGCAGTGAACTAGGTTACGCGATTTGTCCGGCATCAGCAACCCTCCTATCAACTGCAATATGCATGCCCGTGCATACATCTTAACCTCATCCTCAGAGGCGTCTGCACTCAACTCCCGAAAATTGGCATCTAACCAATTTAACGGTATCCTACCTCCGATAAAACTTTCCGGGACACGTCCTAGATTATCCCGACACAAAGTAGTCCAAGAACCGGAAGTTATCCCTGATATCACATTTCCATCCACCGGAAGCCCCAGGTGCATAGAAACACCCTCAAGCGTGATCGTGCACTCTCCGCACGGAAGATGGAATGTGTGGGTCTCCGGCCTCCACCGCTCTACTAAGGCAGAAATAAGGTCTGGTTCTATCTTACAGTGACCCTGATATCTACCTATATAACCAAATCCAGCCTCTACTAAATATGACAAGACACAGCTAGGTATCACTAACTTAAGATTCATAATAAAAAGATCTAATACACGGTCCTTCTCCTAAAAATAAATAATTACAAAAATTAATTCTTAATCTAATAATCATGCATTAAATAAATCAACTAATTATTACTAATAATTTAAATTAAATTAAAACGTTAAAATGTTACCGTATCAGCAAAGTGTCGAGATATATGATTTCTATCCAAGCGAAGTAGACTGCCTTCCATTATATATCTGCAAAAGAATTATATTACTAAAATATTAAATAAAGTAAAATACTTAAATAAATTGAATACATAATATTAAAAATATTATAAAATATACCTTAAACAGAGAGTATTTGAGAGAATTTGAGAGAATTTTGTGTGATGAAAGTGATTGAGGATTGGGGTATTTATAGGGAGGATTGGGGTGTGGACGAGTGGGTAATTAAAGATATATCGTGCCCCCTGTACCGCACAATACCCCACGTGTCAGATAACCAGGTATAGCGCGGATCAAGGGTCACGCTATACCCACGTGTAACCCATGTCAGCGTATAGCGCGGGGCAGGGGGCGCGCTATACCCCACGTGGCGCCAAATCAACATATAGCGAGGGGCAGGAGACGCGTCTTACTGCTACGAGTGTTAAATCGAAAAATATAATCTGACTGATGTTAGATCAAAAAAAATAATTTGATCGGTATTAGATCGGTAAATATATCGATTACCAGTAATTTTTCGGAAATTTCATCGTGCTTGTGTGATAATATATTTTAATTTAATTTTCCTATTTTTAGAAGTCATTTCAGGATAGAGAATGGCACAAAAAATCACGCATGTTTCCAAACTCAAAAAATAAAGAGAAAGCGGACTTACTTTCATAAATCGATATGACAGGGAAGGAAACATTAATCAGCAGGCCTAGGAGGCTAGGATGGGTCAACATAACATCCATATAAATATAGTATTTCCGTTAATATATTATTTTTTATTTTCATAAAATAATTTATAAAGGATTAGTAGCTCTAATTTAATTTAAACTACAACAGAAATATTATTCTCTTTAATTGAAAATTAATTTTATTTATACTATGTTTAAAATTCCAATTAAATTTAATTTCATGAATTAATTGTTCTATAATTTAATAGAAACATATTAAATTATATTCTCTAAATCACAATTAATATTATTGTAGTTGTATATTTTAATTAATGTTAAACATATATCATTATACTAATTATTTTTATAATTTTTTATTATTGGAGTTTAATTTTTTTAATTTAATCACTAAATTTTCAAATACCAACAATCGGTTGGTTTAGTAGGATAAGACACTAGATTCTTTAAGCAAGGCCAGTAGTTCGAATCCTGGCGATTGTGATTAGAGCAAACTGGGTTGAGAAGGTCGTCCTTGCATTTGTAATACCAGATCCGAATTAATCAATTAATAGACGAGAAACCAATTAATATACCAAAAAATCATTTAATTTTCGAATTACTCATATTTTAATCACTCTTTGATGACATTGATTATTTTATTATTGTTAAAATAACATGACAAATATATTAATATTTAATAATAAATAAGATTCAAAATAAAAATATTTAATTTTTTTAATATCAATCCCTGATTCCTAAATCTCAACCTCAATCCCACTAACATCACCCTTGATATTCTAACCTCAAAACCTAATCATAGATTCACATATTGTGTTAACAGAGAGCAGAGTGAAACTGTCAAAAAAGAGATTTCTCAGATTGTTCTTCCATGTGCATCAATGGAGTATTTTGGAAGTTAAATGATTAAATTAAAAAGTTTTAAATTTCAGTGACTAAAATAAGAGTGAGAAGATAATTGAATGATAAATGTTGTAATTTATCCTTAAAATTGACATGTTTTTAAAAAATAAATGCAATTAATTTATTTATAATTTATAAATAATATTTTTTTTGTTAATAATTTAACAACCTCTTAATTTGATGAAGTGATTAGGTATTTAACTCTTGCTTAAGAGATCTAAATTTAAACTGTATCGCTTGTAATACAATTTTTCCATCTTTTCACTTATGAGATAATAACACATGTTATTAGATCATAAATTTAAGATAATTTATTTTTTAAAAATTCATGAAAAGAAAGTGTCATTGGGTCATAAAAATATAAGATACAATGTAAGCGTTTTTACCCAAAAAGCACCTAAACTATCAATAATTACCCAAATTTTACTGATCACTCATTTGCTGACATGGACAGAAGGCACGGAGCACCATTCGTGCCTTCCATAGGTTTTTGTCCGAGCTGACGCCACACGAACAAAGCGGGGATCACCATTCGTGCCTTCACGGGATAAATTGACACACGACGGAAGGTGCAGATCACCATCCACCACTACTAGAAAAAACCCCTTTAATGACGTGCATTGCGCGTCATTTATGGGTGCGGATGACACACAAATGACTGTCGTTGAAGCCACCGACATGAATCTTAGATGACGCGCAATTGTGTGTTATAAATCTATGATGCGCATTGATGACACATATTTATGACACACATTTATGACGCACATTGAGCGTCATTGAAGCCTCCGTCATAAATGAAGATGACACACATTTTTGTGTCATAAATTTATGACACGCATGCATGACTCACATTGCGTGTCATTGAAGCACACGTCATTAAAAAAGATGACACACATTTGTGTGTCGTGATTGTATTTCGTAAATTATATATATATATATATATATATTGCAGATTGACAAACAATCAAACTAAATCACATTTAATGCCTCATAATAAATAATATATATATTATATATATATATATATATATATATATATATATATATATATATATATATATATATATATATATATATATCATATTATATGTAAGCAATTCATTTGTATACAATATATTCACATTAAGTTATAAAAATATTGTAATCATATGTACTATCTATGCTGTACAAATAAGAATTGAAACCAAAGCCTATGAATTCAACAATATAGTCCTAGTTCACATAGGGTAATTTCGTTGGATGTAATCAAATAATGTACTTTGTTTCCACATACTTAGAGCTTTGAGCATCTGGATAAAAGCCACAGATATGTGCAAATAGGCAGTGTTGCCAAACCTGTATTGATAACAAAAAAATGAGGATGCTTAGAATATGCAAAAACAATATAAACAAAAGGTAAGCAAAATAAAACAAAGATGTCAAAATTTTGCTCAGTCAATACATAATAAGCTCCTTATCGTATAAGCAATTTGCAGCCTATAGCATAAACCTTTTGGCAACTCAACATCTTAAATGCATTTAAAATTTAATTTTCATTAAAAGTATAAGAAAAACAAATTAGTGCTGTCAGAACCAGTTTCAGGGCAAGGCATTAAGATATGAAAACACGGAGCAAGAAAAATTCTCTTTCACCTTATCAACCATAAATCCAAACAGTAATGTATCTCTTTCATCTTATATCAACCCAAGCATCTTTGTAGTCAACAATATACAGATTATTTAGTCTTGCAATCAATTCCATCTGCAATACAGCCAAAGAACACAAGACAAATTCTCAAACATGCAATGACTTGAGATGAATTAAGGGAATTTTATTTTACGAAGTTTAGTTTATTTATATTTTACAATTAGGATTATGTTTCTTAACAGATAATATAAGATTTAGGAGATAAAAGTTGGGAAGAAAATAAACTTAGTAGTATTCTTAACTTGCAATCCATAGCCTATAAACCCAATTTGTGTATTTCGCTTTTCAATGAGAATTTCGATTAAAAAATTTCTTTTTATTCTCTCAAGTTCGCAAAAGGGCATCCTAATTTTTTTGGATAAGTGAAACCATTTTTGTCTTTATCTCATATAAACTCTTAATCAACTAGGAATCTTTTTAACCCAAAATGTACAAAGTCGAAAGGCTATTCCCATCAAAAGATATATATGAGATTAACATTCGATGTAGAAGATTCTCTCAATCAAAATAGTGATTTTATATACCTCAACCTTAAACCAAGCACACATTATGCCAGGGTTTCCTCGAGGAACAGATGAAGTTGGGAGGAGGGATGAATGACAGAGGTGTATGATATGTTACTTGGACTCGGGGTGAATATAAGTATGTATCTGGTATGCATATAATCGATTTTTAGTATCTTTTCATATATTTGGAGGATTGTACTTCATATTAATGTTTGAGTATGTGTCGAACACAAGTATTTGAAGGAAAAATAGTCTAGGTAACATAAGTAGCAGCATATACATATTTTTAGATTATTTCAATGGTTGTCTTTAGATTTCAGACGGGTTGTGAGCAGGTGCGTGTTTGCATACATGCATATTTTGTTATCAGAAAGACCAAAAACAATACATCTAAAGGTAGGATATGTTAAATATATCAGTCTTGTCTTAGCAGATAAAAGAAGGAAATATTCAAGATCACAGCTTTCAAAGAAGCAACAGAGTAGAAAACAGTGTTAACTCATGTCTCAGGGTATAAAGCATCTGTTTGGCTAGATAAAGAGGTGCAACCTAAAAGCTATCATAAATAAAAGGTGTCATCGTTGAACAAAACATGGACATCTCGTAATCAAAATATCTCCTAAATCAAGATTTTAAAGGTCACGGTTTCGTTCAAGCACAAGAAGTTCAACACTAAGAAAGGTTAATTTATGCAAGTGTATCGTGATAACGATCCGTTGGAAAATATTTAAATCCTAATCGAGTATGGAATAATCCATGCAACTTTCAGTCATCACAATTCACATGTTAATTACATAAAACAAACGTGAAGAGTGAAATTTTGGTTTTAAAAAAGTGACCTCTTGGTGAGCTGTACGCTTAAACTTGTCTGTTTGCTTGGCCAGCCGGATCTTCTTCAACACATACCTAACAGAGTAAGAAAAATAAAAGAGAATCATACAAACTTGAGGCTAAATTCAATAATTAATTGCTAAAGGACAACATGTATTACAATAATGAAATAAAGGCCACATATTGAGAATATGGTCTTTGTTGCTTAACCAATCCCAGAAATTCATTATTCAGATAACAAAACGAAGAACAACCTAACATTATCAATCCCATGGAAATTTATATCTAGCAACTATAATTATTGAAGGGGGAACAAAACTCACTTGTCTGTTTGCGTGTGTTATCGTTCGTGTGTCATTAAAGGTATATTTTCTTGTAGTGATAAGAATATATACTAAAGACAACATACGATATAAGTCAAATTTGAATAAGGTATAGCTTACCTCCTAATTTCAGCAAGGCTACTCGTGAGTTCATAGCAAAGAGAATAATAAAAGTACAACATCGCAGCTAGGACATCGAGGGTCTTCCTATTCAGATTCTTCAGCCGAGCAATGCTTGCAGAGGAACATGCCTTCGCCTGAAACGAGATAACATTATGTATAAAGAAACAGGAAACGTCTTGCACAGCTCCCATTGTTGATACTCCAATATCGTATTTCACTATCACCATCACAAGAGAAGATAAGATCATCTTTAGTTGGATGGAAGTCAAGTGACATAACGTTACCTGAATGTCTTATAAATGTACGAAGCGAATAACCAGGCTGCAGAAATTTTCAAGGAAAATTAAATGAAAACCGAGAAGAAAGAAAACTCAGAATGAAATAGCATGAACATGCACAGAATGCTTTAAATGAGAACATTAAGGGGTTTTAAATGGACATACAAGAAGACATAACTAGCTCAAAAACCAAAATAACAAGTAAATTGAAAGAAGAAAGTTCACTAACACTGTCAATATCCCAAACTCTGACAGTTTTGTCAAATGAAGATGTTGCAAGGCGTGATATGCTTGGACTGAAACGAACATCAGTGATCAAACATGAATGTTCTTCAAGAGTAGACTTTGGCTTTAAAGTGTCCGTGTACCATAATACAACCTGTGTTGCAAATATATATATATATATATATATACTTCTTACCAACATAAAAAGGTATGAAAAAAAACTAAGCTCCTCTCTCAGGACTAACCTTTTTATCATGGCCACCAGTAGCAAGCAACTTTCCATCTGATGAGAAATGACAGCAAGTAACTTTGCTACTGCTTGTTCGAACGGAATTTACTTCCATAAATGTGAAACCTGAAGTCAAATTCAAATTTGATACACTGTAAAAAATATTATGCGTCAAACCAATCCACTTGCATTATGTAGTAATGCAATAATAGAATATGAGATGAAAGTGTATCCCTAAAAATTAGAAATAAGGATAGATGAATGCGCCCACACAATTGCACGGTTTCTTTCGGCAAAATTCAGTTAGCATTTGGATATATAAACAATAGAGCAAAATCATGAAATAGTCGCAATAACCAACATTCAGAATAAGACTACAATGTACAAAAGTTTAATGAGATATACAATATCTATGCTTAAATATGCTTGGTCTCAAACAAGGATGTATTAATTATCATAGCCATTCGGAAAAAGAATTAGGACAGTATCATATTCACTGTATCCAAGAATAACAAGGACATAAAATATGCCAACAGAGTGAAACTACAATGTCCCACAAAAGAGGCTACATTAAATTCACTGCAACAACAGACTATCAAATCGCAAAAGCCATACAAGTAATATTTATACACCTTTAGTTAAATCCATACATCGGCCAACAACATCCCTAGGATCTGTATCATCATGGGATAAAAAAGACTCAACGTTATCATCAAGAGACCCATCCTCCACAAACCGATCCATTTCAGCCTGCAATTTAAGATCTTTATCACCCCACTCCCAAAATGGAGTTCCAATAAAAAATTATGCAAGGAATTTTTAGTTCCTCCACAAACATTGGAAAATAATTAATACTCACCAACTGATTCGAAGGGGATGCAAGTGTGCCGACACCATCAGCGCCAAACATCATCATAGGCTTAGAAGAACTCCCGCTATGAGGAAGAGTGGGCATTGAAATCACATCTCCAGGAGCGTGTATTGATGGTGTAGAAGGTGCTGAACTAGGGGAGGGTCCAGCTATGTTTGCTGTCCCTGAGCTATTTGTAGGGCCTGAAGATGGCACCGGCTGTTTTCTCTTTCTCCCATTCTGGTTTTTTGAAACCTTCAAATGAATTAAGGAAATTATGTTTGGAACCGACTCATGTATGCTTTCAAGCTAAGAATCAGAGCTCAAATAACAACTTTATATTGCTTTCCACATATTGAGTCATAAGGGGGGGGGGGGGGAATCAAATAACAAGCTAAGCGGAAAGAATGAAAATAATGGTGGAAAATTAAAAGTTGATTTTTACAAATGACTTCAATTAAAAGTGTATTCCGTGTTTTTATAAATTTTTTAAATTATGACTATTAAATATGACACACAATATTGTAAGTCATAAATTGTTCAGATTTTAAGAAACATTACTTTTTTTCATGACACATATTTTTTTTAAGTCATAAATTAGCGTGTGTCATCGTTCGTGTGTCATTAAAGGTATATTTTCTTGTAGTGCACGACTTCCATTATTCACCTTGAATTATTGGGTATTCCATTATTACCCAAGCCTTAAAGCTTGGTGACTCACCCCTCTCCTTCCCCTATAAATAACCCCGAATACAAACATTAAACTACACTAAAATTACTTTCATGTTCTTCTTTCTATCAAGCTAAGTAGATTTTATTATAGTTATTAGAAGGTAAAATTATTTATTATTATATTATGTTTATTTTATATTTAATTATTTGGCCAAAATTTTTTGTACTAATGATTTTGCTTTATTTTGTACTAATATAAAATATAAGACATGATTAAATCCCGATACATTTTCCTGACACAGTAACAATGTTAAATTGTGTTATTAAATTTATTATGATTTTTAAAAAATGTTTTAGCATTAGTTTATGTTTAACTCCGTATATTATTTATTTAATTAGGCGTATTTAATATATTGTTTTTGCATATATAAGACTCTCAGTCTTTCAAACTCTAAAAATGAGGCGTATTTCAGCTACAGTTTACTATAATGGAGAAATTAGGAAAGATGAAACAGACATTGCATTCATATCAAATCATTTTGTCAGAATATTTTTTAAGAGAAACATCACTCTTGAGGAGCTGATCACTAAAATTTCAAGGAAGGTTCATGTTGGAAGTACTAGAAGACTATCATCACTTCAGTACAGATTTCCAACAGTAGTATTTTCGTTAACTTATATAGAGTTCGAACTCTCCAATGATGATGATGTTGCTATGACGGTTGATTCTCAGAATCAAAATTTAGGCGCTGATACACATATGTATGCGACATTTATTTAAGTGTCTGCAGTTCGTGGTATGTCATTATGCTCCCACTATGGGCTAACTCAACAAGCTGATCAAGTTGACAACCCAACTACAATAATGTGTAATGATTTTAATGCTATAATGAGAAATCCACATTATGGTATTATCCCATCAAGTTCAATGGGGATACATTCATCAGCAACTTGTTACGATGTCTATCGAAGTGGCTCCACGAACAATCCGTATGGAAACATCACTTCCAGTTCAAAGAAAAGACATTCATCAGCCAATTTTTTTGACTTGAATATAGGGATGCCATCGACACAACAATCTGTTCAGTACTCATTTGACACGATGATTTCAAGTTCTAGGGGAGACATTCAACTATGAGCTTCTTCAACTTTATTGTCAAGATGCTTGCGACACAACACTCAGTCCAAAACCTGTATGACACGATGCCTTCAAGTTCAAAGGGAAGACATTCAAATACCAACTTGTTTGACCTAAATATCGGCATCTTAGAGGAACCCTCATCTCCGCCAAAAGAACATTTTCGTGAGTCAGATGCAAATGATGCTGAGACTAGACTATTCGTTGAGCCAAAATTACTGCAGTTCAATATGAACTCCAATGATGATTATGCAGATGAAGTTCCCACAACTACGGTACACACCGAACCTCTAATACATATGCATGAAGCTGATTATGGTGCAGTGTACATGCCAGAATTTGTGGATATGCCTAATGTTGATGGCTATGAATTTAACTCATCAGTCAATAATGGTGAGTTATATATTAGAATGAAATTTCCATCGAAAGAATAAGCGATAATTTCTATTAAGAATTACAATATTCGTAATTATGTTCACTCCAAAGTGGACCAATCTACCACCGAAAAGTATGTATGCTACTATGTCCAACGTGATAATGGATGTAACTAGATGGTTCGTGTATCGAAGAGGAAAGGGAAAATAATATATGTGAATTAACAGTATACAAAGGTCTTTATACATGTTGTGCTAGAGGGATCAACCAGGACCATCCCAACTTGGACTCCGACATTATCTGCCAAGCCATAATGCCCACGATCAAAACAAGCTCCCATATAACTATTGTTAAGTTGATTTTAGCTATACAGTCTCAATATGGGTACACCGTCTCCTACAGGAAAGTAAGAAAGGAAAAATAGAATACCATTAAAAATGCACGGTGAGTGGGATTTATCCTGCAACGAACTACCAAGTTGGTTTAGGGTAGTGCGTAGACTGAATCTTGGGACAATAGTGGACTTCGAAACTTGCTATGCATATAACAATGATAGAGTACTACACGATCAATGCCAATTCTACTGGTTGTTTTAGACTTACCCACAGTGTATTAATGTTGTGAAATACTACAAGTCTGTGGTACATATTGATGGATATTTTTGTATGGAAAATACAAGTAAGTTATACTATTGTCAGTTGTTCAAGATATGAATCGCAATATTCTTCCAGTTATTTTTGCCCTTGTTGTAGGAGAAAATATAGATTCTTGGGTTTTTTGCCTAAAAAACTTACGCTTACATGTTGTCGCGAGGGAAAAAATCTATCATTTTATATCGCAGAGCTGGGATCAAAGCATCAATGACCTCTTTAGGTCCAATGTGGAAATCACCCTATGTCCAACATTGGTACTGTGTCTGACATATTGCCGCGAACTATCATGGAAAGTTCAAGAATAACGATGAACGCCAATTACTTGTGCGCATGGGTATGTCATATTTCTTAATTTTATTTATGTAGAATTTTCTTTTTTATGGGAACTTAACAGTAAGTACTACATAAATTATTCATGTTATGAACTACTACCTTAGACGTCTGAGTTCATACTTCAAGAATTACGAGGAAAAAGAAGAAAGGATACAATTATATCATCCTTATCAACAAAGAAATATGGACAAATGCATATGACGGTGGATATCTATATGGACACATGACGACCAACTTGGATGAGGCTATCAATTCGACCTTAAAAGGGGGCGCCATTTACCAGTTACAACGTTGGTTAAAATGACATATTTTTGTTTGGGAGCACTTTTTGCCAAGCTAGATGGACAAGCTCAAACTTGGATGCAAAACGACCATGTTTATCACCCAAGATTAGTTGCAGATCTACAAAAAAGAATTGTTGCTTCAAATGAAATGTTTGTAACTAGCTTCTCTCGAATCCATGAATTATTTTGTGTCACAGAAATGCCATGATGTCTGTAAGGGATTGAAGCTAACTCTTTCAGAGTTAATCTACATGACATGTGGTGTGACTGTGGGTTTTTCAAGCTCTGAAGTATATATCTCCCATGTCGTAGCAACTTGCTCTAATATCCGTCAAGACTTTAATCATTTTGTGGGTCTCGTATACCGACTTTCAAAAGTATTTAAGGTATATGAATTTGAGTTCCCCCATAGGTAATGAGAAAGACCTATACGAGGTTCAAAATTGACTTCAGATTATACTAGATTTGTCCTTATTAAGGGAAACATGTCATCCAAAATCCACTCAAATCAACTGTGATATGGATATTCGAGAGACGTTCAAAGAAAACAAAAGATGTGGGCATTGTAGAAACCCATACCATAATAGGAAAAAATATCCATCTCTTTTATCATCACGTAACAATTGATGATGTATCGATGAAATTGTTTTTTCTAAAATATCAGCTTGTGTTATTTCATTTTCGTTTATGTTCAAGTAATGGGCTACTCAAGTGAAGATTAAACTCACAAACACTTCAAGGTTTATACCCCAAAACCTAGAATACACACTCTCTCAAAGAGTAATTACAAATTTAGCAAACTAAGGAAAAACCTCACAAAGGCAAATAAGTTTGCACTAATTAAGCTTTCACCCAAATTACACTTGAGCAAAGTAAACAATATAGCTCATAAATGTGTTTACAACAAAGAATTAACAAATTATGCACAAAACTATGCTTTGATGTTGGTAGATTGGTTCAATATGATTCTTGATGACCTTGAGAAGTTTTGACCATCAATTTATACCTTGTCCGTTAATTCTAGTCATTGGGGATCATTATACCTTCAATTTATCCTTCTTAAAGGGGATCGATCCTTTGGTCAAAATGATTGATCATTTTTCTAGGGGATCGATCCTTTGAGCCAAAAATCCTTGGAAACTTATTTTTAAAGCGTGAAAACAAGTGATTTCATTTTTGAAAATGTTCGACTAAGTCGGAAAACATTTAAAATATAATTTTCTAGTTAATTTGGCCTTTGAATTATTCTTGATAAATTTTTGACAAATTCAATTAAGTCCAAAAACAATTTTACAATTTAATGTTATATCAAAATATTAATTCAACAAAAACATTACAAACTAAACAAGTCTATCGATGTCTGTGTCTTGGATGTGTTTCACAAGGCGATGGTTGTCTATTTTGATGAGGGTTTCTTTGTATAAGTTTTTCTTCCTCCTCACTCTCATCATCATCAGCAATAACAACAGTAGTAGCATGTATATTTTGTTGATCAGGGATGGATGATGATGTACCACCTCCATAGAATAAGACCATGGAGGTGTATAACTAACCATCTCACCGCTCATAGAAAACTGTGAAAACTGTGAAAATGTAGACATCTATGAATGCGAAAGTTGGGTCAGAGGTGTATGCGTCTGTGCTGGTGCATTACCCGTAAAATATGATGCATATGAAGCTCACACTGAATCTACAAGCATGGAATTGTAATATCTACCTAAAGGGGTCATAAAACCCTATGGTGATGGCATCGAAACCTGCTGTGATGACATCCCCATCTACCGAAAGCCTTAAAAGTAATGAAACATCCTCCAGCGTAATAGAGCACTCCCCACATGGTAGATGGAATATGTCTATCTCTGGTCTCCACCTCTCGACCAATGCAAAAATAAGGTTGGATTCAAGGTTACAATGCCCTTCATATCTAGCTATGTAACCGAATTTAGCCTCGGCTAAATACATACAAACACGATTCAATATCTCTAACTTAGCGTTACGAATAAATGAATCTAATATAAAATCATTCCTCTAATTAAATAAATAGTATACAAATTAAAATATAAACTAATACTAAAAAAATAAATAAAACATTCAAAATAATTAACATAACACAATTTCAAATTGTTATCGTATCTGCAAAATGGCTCGAGATATGATTCATATCTAAACGCAGTAACCTGCCTTAAGTTTTATAACTGCAAATTATAAAAAAATTAACACAATCAAATATAATAAAATAATACACCATTTAATGATTATAACATAATAAAAATAATTTTATCTTCTAAAAATAATAACAAAACTTACTTGAAACTTGTTAGAATGAATGATAAAAGTAAGGAGAACTTTTTTTTTGTGTGGATTGAGAGTTGTATGAGGTGTTATTTATAGGAGGAGTAGGTGGTAATTAAGTGAGAGCGACAGATGACCGAGTGGTATTTATCGAAGGCACAAATCACCGTGAGTCAATTTTTCATAGGAAAGAGCGGATGGTGATCCGCGCTTTGCCTGCGTGGTGCTAGTTTGGAAAAAACTCATGGAAGGCGAGGATAGTGATCTACACCTTTCGTTCATGTCAGCAAATAGATGTTAGATCAGTAAATTCTGATCAATGAATATTTGACATATAATTATTGATTGTTTGGGTGATTTTTGGGCAAAAACGCCCACAATATAACCAATGGCGAATTGGCAACGATGAATTTGAAGGAGTGAATTCGGTCCTCCATTTTATGTGTCCTACAATTGGAGGACCACGTGAACAAAAAGTTGTAATTATCCACCACGTATCCCATGTTCCCATTTTCCCATGGTGGTCCCCCCACCATCGACATTTTCTTAGAAGCCAAACAAACAAGGGGTGGTCAGCTCAGCTAACAGTACATATCTGATATTTATTTATATATTTTCCACTCGGTGTTTTGACTTGCTAAACCTCATCGTCAAAGTTCGCCTTGGGTGGTTTTTGTTACTGGTGATTTTGATAGCCAAAGTCAAGCATTGGTGGCATTTTTTACCCTTTGTTGCAGGTGCCACTTTTGAAAGATCCCCCTATTTTTTAAGCATTTTGAAAATGGTGACCTTTCATCACTCCACGAGGTTTTAGCCTACTTCTACGGCTCCTTGAGCCAATCAAAAGGCTTTGCCTTTATCCCATTTTTCCATGCCTAAAATCAACTCATGTGAAGCAAAAGGTTTGAAGAAACTTGCATGTCCAATAAATTTTCCTTTTTCCTTGCCTCTACGACTTTGGGTCTAATTTAAATTAGGGTATACCATAAAAATTAATTTCTATATTAAAACAATCATTTTAATATCTATTTTTAAAAAAAAAAATTAATTCTAATCTTAATATTTTATTTTAAAATAAAAACTTCTTCGATAAATAAAAATATCAGTTAAAAAATAATCAACGCTTTAAAATATGGGTCTTTCTATATTAGAATGAAGTATTAGATGTCAAATTATTACATAAAAAAGAATAAATATCAAATAACTATTCAATCAAATGTTAAAAACTTTTGTATCCTAAAATGAAATGTTGAAGCAAAATGCTTAAGAAAAAAAATTTAAAATGACAATTTTGATAAATATTTGGACCAATTTTAACACTATAACGTTAATTAATAAATTCTCATTTACCTTCAGTTCTACGTTTCCATTCCTTGTTTTTCGTATGAAAAGCTTTGCATTTAGGCTGTAGCTTTGGGCTTTTGCATATTCTAAAAGCATTGTGTACAGAATGGTCAGAAGTATAAGTTACTTATAAGTGAAAAGACCACATTGATTCAGGGCTGCATTTCACTTTTGGTTCAACTTTATCTCTGTTCACCAACTATATTTATGCAATTATTTACCCTTCCCATCTCATACATATTTAGTGTTCCATTTCAAGAAGGCTTAAAGTAAAAAAAAGTACACAAATTAAGCCCTTAAAACTATTTTGACCAAAATATAGTTTAAGCACATAAAGTGCTTACATATAATAATTTAAGGACTTAGTATGACCAAAAAATAGTTTAGGTACTTGAAGCAAAAATATATCATAGTTTGAGTACCTTTTTTAAGTTTAAGCCTTTCTAGAAATATTCACATTTTTATTTATTTAATTAAGTAATTAGTTTAGCTTTAAGGTTGAATTTAGTATGTAATTTTTTTTCTAATCTCATACTTAATTTTTTTAATAATGTAGAAAACATAAATACTAGATTAACTCTTGAAATCAAATCAAGATGCTATAAACATATATTTATCCTCTATACCAAAAGTTACATAAACTTTTTTGGCATGGTATTGTCAGGAGGGTTAAGTGGGTTTTGGCATTTCCCATTTACTATGAGTTATGGCAGAATTATTGCTGTTTTTCGTACAAACAACTGGAAAATGCCCCTTTTTTTCCCCTCTTGTAAATGATGTTAGTCAAAATTACAATCCATTGGTGCCCCATTGGATGCCAAATTATTCATAATTTTCTTTCAATATTTGAATATAGTTATGTTTAAAATTTTAAGGTAAAAGGGCACATGATATCATATATTTTTGAAAAATAAAAACGTGACAATCATATTATTTTTTCTTGATGTGACATTTTAATTCAGAAAATAAATCTAATGTGATCATTTGACCAACGTTTTTCGTCATTTGACCATTACAGTGCTGATGTGGCAGTTCACAATACTAACGTGACAGTCCACAAAACTAACATGACAGTCCATCAACTATGTCTGAGTTATCAATTTAATCAACCTGCTATGTTATTCATCACATTGTCAACCACCATGGACTACCGCATCGACATCCTGAATTATCACATCAGCACAATAACAATCAATGACAAAAAAAAAATGGTCAAAGAACCACATTAAGATTATTTTATGAGTTAGGGGGTCACATTAAGAGAATAATAATACGAGAGTCACATTGATTTTTTTTAAATTACATGGAGTTTTTATACTTCTTGTCAAGTTTAAATGATTACAACATTTTATATCTATTATACTTGTAAATAAAAACATATTTGAATAATTGGATGCTTGATATTATTTAAAAGTAAAACAGGTTTGAATTTTGAAAACCAAGTAATATTTAAGGTTCATTGTATCAATTTATAAAATCTAAATATGAAAAATATCCTTAAAATACTATCCGGAAAAAGGAAAACTGAAGGAGCTCTCATGGTGTGGATACCAATCTTTATAATGACAAAAGAAAAAGAAGTCTAATGGGGTAGATATCAATCTTTATCATGAGGGGGAAAAACAAACAGAAATTTAGAACAAACGTCGAAATAAAAGTTTAAAGTCTTAGAAAATTAAAAGTTTGGCAAAAAATTTCCAGTAAAATTTCATATACTATCTTGAAGGAGTGATATTAGAAAATATTTTTTTAGAGTAAACACATATATATATTAATAACACAAAATTTTTATATTTGATGGATATAAATAAAATTTTAAGGTAAAAACAATTAATAAAATAGATAAATAAAAAATATTTAGATTTCAAGATGAATACGTTCTCACCCTAAACCTAACGTGAACCCACCACTATATTGAGTAACAGTAATGATAAAAGAGAATGTTATTTTCTGTAAAATATCTCATTTTAAATAGTTTCGTTTGTAAGATGTGAACATTGTCAATGGAGCAACTACTATACTTTAATTATCCTAAATTATTGAAGAAAAGAAAAAACAAAACCAGGAACTAGAAAGTTCAGAATTAATATAAAGAGACTAAATTCATAAATTAATGCATAATACAATGACTAATAAAGAATTTGTCCCTCATCCAAATCCAAGAGGACTGTGAACACACTCAGCCTGCATTCCCTCAAGGGTCCCACATTTCTGACTTTGACGCGTGAAAACGGATTAAACGAGGAAAAAAAATCAACATTTTTATAAAGGGAAAAAGTTGACAAAGGGAGCCCAAATTAGTAGTCTCTTTCCTTTTTGTCTACTTTTATGATATGTGTATCCCAAAGGCTCAGAAACTCCATATCTTTCCCCCTGCAGATTCCCCTCTTCAAAGTAATTTCTGAACCAGAATTTATCTCTTCTGTAGCTTTCTTCACAATCCCTACATTTTCTTTTCTCTCATTCACTTTCAAATTCCAACCCTTTTCTTCTGAGTAGCAACTGCCGACACTAACAACCCCACGATGGATGTAAGTTGTTCACATGAAAATATTCTTTGGATCTTGAGTGGATTTGTTGTTTAAAGCTAATTCTCTTTTTGTTTTTTTTTCTCCAGGATTATGGTAAAAGAAGTAGGCAGATACCGGCATTTGGAGACTGGGATTATGCAAATGATCTGCCTATAACCCAGTACTTCGAATGTGCTAGACAAGCAGGTTTGATTCGTTTCAGCTCTTCATCTGGTGAATCTAATACTTGTGTGCGTGACTTGTATGAAGTTGATTCGAGGAAACATTCTCGTGATCTTGCTTCTTCTAGGAAGGTCGGTTTGCTTGCTTTTTCTCCGTTGTTTTTTATCTCTGAAAATGTTGTATTTGTTGATGGTGATGATAATGGAGGTGTGGGCAGGTGAGTAGGGTAAGGGAGAAGGGAGGGCCGCATGTTAAGGAGCTAAAGAAGGGAGGGAGAGTCCGTGACGTGACGGAACCGCGGAGGAAATATCCCCACCACCACCATGTGTCGTTGTCAAATAATAATTACAGTACGACAAGAGATAGTAAGCAACTCAAATACGACGACGTTGCTACCAATCCCAAGAGAGTTCTTGTCCGACAACCTAAGCCTGTTGACGAAGATCTTTACAAGATACCCCCTGAGCTCCTCGACTCTTCCAAGCGAGTAAGTCCCCTCCACCCTTTCATTGTTCAAACTAGGACTGTAAATAAGATTAGTCAAATTCAAATATTATTGATCTCGACTTGACTTGAAAAATATAAATTTAAACTCGATTCAACTTCGTACTAAAATTTGAAATAAAAAGTTGAAGATCGACTCATACTGAGTTCGGTTGAAGTTCAAATTCCAACTCAAACATGAATCTTAGTGTTTGAAAAATCCTACTTTATATTTTAAAAAATAATATATAAATTTAATATTATTAATAATTTAATTTAAAAAATTAAAAGTTAATATTTATTTTTGGGTTATTCTGGAACTTTTGTGCGTATCAAGTAGTTTGTCTCTGTTTGGTAAAAGCTTGAGTTGACTCCATTCAAATTCAGTGTGTTGACAAATCGAATTCGTGTAATTTATAATCTGTCTAGTTGAAAATATTCATTTTTAAAAGGTTTAAATTAAGTTATTGACAATTGAAAGGGATCAAAACAACAATAACTCAATTTAAACTAAGTTATTGAAAAGTTTTAAGCCACATTTTGCTTCATAAGTCTAATCTTTTGTTTCTTGCATTGTTGTTTTGTTATGGAACGCAGAAGAAGAGGCCAGGATTCTTTTCGTGCTTGGTTCCAGCTTGTGCAACTTGAAGCTCTCATCGTTTTGTGCATGAAAATGAAGAATTTAATGTTTATATAGAAAGGGAAAATATATGTAGTTTACTCCATTTTTTTCATTTTCCTTTTGTTTTGACTAAACAAATCTTCTGTGAGAAATAGCTAATCTAATGGTAATTTTATATAGAGTTGAATTGAACAATTAAATTCACAATGTTTACCTTTTTTATTACTGTCTTCTACTTAAAAACTACGTGTTTCATGTTACTTATGCTTTCTAAATGACTTCATTTATAGTTTGCATATGGATTGAATCTTACAAATAACATTTATCCTCTAAAATAAATTAAGGTATTGTACTGATTATCGATGCTAAAAACTCCTTTGATGATGTCCTCGAGCACACAATCTAACAACTTATGCATAGTAAAACAGCTATGAACGATGGGCTTTCCGAAACTTGATGTACAACTATTTTATTAGAGTTCATCTTCTTATCTCTCTTTTGCATGTCATGTCGAAGATGCCATAACCATAAAAAGCTTCAAGCTTTTTGTTTTTTCTTTCATCATTAAAGCAAGGATGATTCATTCTCGTCCCTCAGGCACAGCCCCACAAAAAATTTCACAGCGTAGCGACAAGTGAGCAGTTCCAAGTGCTTAAAAATCGATGACTCTTCTTCTAACAAGGTTTTGCCTTCTTCGACATGCATGGTGACTTTGGGCCTGATGTCATGGAGATTGTTACTCAACACCGTTGGCAAAAGTTTGCCTCGTATCTAAGGAACGTTAATGCCTCACTTGTTCGAGAGTTTTACGTCAATATTTCTGACCCAAGCCAACATTCAATTTTAGTAAGAGATATTTTTATCCGTTTTACTCCCTCTGTAATTAATAGATACTTTAAATTACAGGATGTTGAGGATAGTCATTCTAAGTTCGAGAAGGAGGCTAACCATGTGATGCATCAAGAGGTAAGAGAGGACTTATGTTTTTCGAATTCTAAATGGAATGGGAGGAAAGCAAGCCGACGCTCCATGGATAGAGAGAGACTTCAACCACATGTCAAGTTCCATTTTATGAAGCAGCTATTGTCGACCTCTCACAATACTACTGTGTCATTTCCCTGAATGATGCTCTTGCACTCCATACACATGGGGCGTTCGATTGATGTGGGCAAGATCATCGTTGAGCAAACACATGCTTGTTTGAAAAGGTCGGCTAGTGCCTTACTCTTTCCTAACCTCATCACGACTCTTTGTCGTAAGAAAAAGGTTGTGGAGGAGGAATTTGATAAGATCTTGCTCGACTTGAAGGGTATAACTAGAGAAAAACTCCCTACATTGTTGGGGTTTAATGAAAACAAAGCCAAAAAGAAGGATGACGAAGCTGCAGAGTTTGGTGCAACCCAATATACCACGACAAGGTTAGATGCACTCGAGAAATCAACAAAAGAACAAGGAATCATTTGGAGGCTCTGACCGACAATCTCAAGACCTTATTTGTATATGTCAAGCAAAGACATGATGTTGTGGCATCAGTCTACCAGGAGATGCTCCCACATCTGGCTCAAAATCTCCCAGAATTCCCTGATGAAATCTTGCCAGCATTTGAGGATGCCGTGGCATTTCCAAATGTCACCCAGCATGACACTACGCTCGAGCCAAAAGATGCTGACCCAATCAACATGGTTCCCGAGCAATAACCTAAGCCTGAGTCAGAGCCCTAAACCTAGACTGAGCCCGCCCTATCTAAGGAGACTCCCATTGCTGATGAGCCCACCAATGAGATACCAGCCAGACGAAAATGTCGTGAAAACCTACGCAGCGTAGGACCACTAGACGCTTAAAGAGGTCTGGTGGGCGTGCAGAGACATTGACTGCCAAAGTTCCTGAGGTCCTAAGCACCCCCTGTTGAACCTATATCAGACCTCGAATCAAGCCCTACCCTATTGAGAAAGCACCCACGATGCAACATGGCCACAACGACACTACCACCATAGGAAGTCAAGGTACCTTACATTGCATTGCATAACATATAGTTTAGTTTTAACTTAGTTTTATTAAAGCATTGAGAACAATGCTTCCCTCAAGTTTGGAGGAGGTAGTTTTCTTATTAGGCCATAGCATTATAGAGTTAGCAGAACAGTTATGCCATGCTATTAGTAAAAGTTAGGACAATTTGTTGGAATGAATTAATGATGTCAGATGATGATGAACTCTTTTGGCTAAGAATTGAATGTACATGACTGTTGAGAATGATATGACCAACTTTAGGACTTGATGCGTTGGGAATCATTGAAACACGATTTTATGTCTTCTATGCTTAAGGAACTTATGAAATTTTTATGAAAGAACTCTAGTATGCCTTGACATAAAAATTTGATACTAAGCTTAAATGTTATAGGGTTGCTTAAAGGCTTAATTTGACTCATTTATATTTTGAATTATGTTTAATTGTGAATAAATACTTTGACATAATTGTAGAGGGACACTCCTCTTTGTTGTGGCATTGCGTGGATACTGCATTTTAATAAATGGCAGCCACAAGCATACGAGTGAATGAAAGTAGTCACAGAATTACTTTTCCTCACTAGCTCGGGGATGAAAGGTATGCTCCCATTCATCTAGAGTGTGGGATGATAGTTGTGATAGGCTGACTCCCCTCGTAGCAGTACTTATATTAAAAAAAATTATTAAGTAAATGAGAGTGAATTTTGTGCTTAATTGGATAATAAATGCCTTGGAAAAATGAGGGAACTTGCTTAGGAATTTTCTATCTTTGTTAAGGATAGATTAGATACAATCACCCATAAACACTTACAAAGGATCTTGCCCTAGGGAACATTTCTTGATTTCTTGATGTGTCTAGCATTTTGAAGCCAACTTTTTTGAGGGCTGAAATTTTATCCCATATGATTGTCTTGATTCTAAAATTTTCCATGACATTTTCATTTTGCTGACTGTTATCCATTGCTTAAGGACAAGCAATATCATAAGTTTGGGGGTGTGATAACTCCGTAAAAAAGTTATATTTAAGGTTTTTTTACTTAAGTTATTGATTTTCTAAAGCCTCATATAGGATCATTTATATGCATTTAAGAGCATATAGTTGCATATGGTGGATTTAATGTGCCTTGGCATTTTATTTTAAGAATGGTGCTATTTTATGGGAAATGCTTGTTTTGGTTGTTGATGCGCAGGGTCAAGGAGCAAAGGTGATGTGCAAAGGAAGTTGATGTGGCAAAACAGAATGGAGATGCCATGGCATTTCTGAGTGCAGTAAAAGACAAAAAAGTTAAAGATATTTTTATACAAATCCAGTTGTCATTTGACCACATGTTCTTTGCTGTCAATGCCCATGAGGAGCCCACAACAGCTATTGTACCATCCCTCACATGTGGTAAGTGTGACTTAGGGTACTATTGGAATTTTATACCAAAATTCCTAAGTACACTACCTTAATATATATAGACGATGATGCCACAAAGAGAGGACCTTCTTCTTCCACAATTGAATTCTTTATATTTTTGAGCTAAGGAAGGCGGAGGAGAAACTTATTCTTCTTCCCTTTTCAATTTTCTTTGTGGTATTCCTCCATTAGACGAGCTTGAGAGAGTGGAGACCTTGACGTCTGAGAGGAACAAGCGACGTTAAGATGGTTTGTAGTGGTTGAGGACCTCACGGGATTGCACATCGGGAGTCTTTCCTCCACCTTTGTTGCTTCATCTTTCTTTTTATTTGACGGGTTGTATGGAATGAATTATTCTTATGGATGATTTGAACCCCACCATGAACTAAACCTTATTTGGTGGGGTTTATAATGGATGATTAAATGTTTTTATTTGATAAATGGTTGATACTTTTATGTTTATCACTTGTTTTGCTCATTGTTTTTAATTACTTAAGATTGTAAGAGGTATGAGATTGACCATTTCTTAAGTATATTACTTAGTGTTCGAGAGAAACTAAGTTAATGATCCTTAGTGTTCGAGAGAAAAGAGGGGAAGATCGACATGAACAATGAGTTTTAGCTAATAACTAGAACCTAATCCAATATTAGTGTTCAAGAGAAACTAAGGTAGGATTTCATCGACTAATAGGAGTTGTGCTTAATTGATAGGTTAGATGTTGCTTCTTGGGTCAAGAGGATTCATCGTGGCATTCTAATTTGTCAGGTTCCATGACTAGAGATAACGTAGGGACACTCTTAGTGAACTCTATCAAGCAAGTGAACCACAGGAGTTTAGACCATTCGAAAATACAAACCTTAAAATTCCTTACTGACCCATTAATCATTCCCGTAATAGCTTGTTTGTGTGAGGATTATAAAGTCATATTACTTATTTCTAAGTTGTCAATTCATTCTACCTTGACATTTTCATTTGTTTACCCTGCAAACATTTCAACCTGCCGTGACATTTCCATATTGCTACCCATTCACACTACCATTCAATTTGGCCTTGACATAGTCATTTGTGCATACTTCTAGTTACACTTAGATAAGTTAGTAATTTTTCTGTAACTTAACATGTAATTTCCTCCAATCCCGGTGGAGACGATACTCATCACTGTTTGTGCGATTGTGTATACCTACGCATAATTTGCGTTCAATATATAGTACTCACACAACACAATAATATACTCAAAGGCTACAAACCGTCTATTAGTAGCACTAGTATCTATCACTTTCTCATTCATGTTATTCAACATATTAATCTCTAAGAGACTATCACATATTTTATTTACTATGACTAAATTTGGTATTCCACTCAACCAAATTAATCTCTACTCTGTTAACTTCTCTATTAAGTTTAAAGAGAATTTAACTCGTCAGTATTTTTTTTTATAAAAAAGAGCACATTAAAGAATAATCCACTAGGTAGGTTACTATAAAAGAGAGACGGTACACTAGGCACACTTAAATATCATGTCTTTCATAGAACCAATCATGGACATACATGTTCATAATGCTTTCTCATGTGTCATTTATGAATTTTCTATTTCTTTAATGAAAGTCTGTTAAAGAATTATGCTTGATATTTTTCTCACAATAGTATCTTATTAAGCATACATATTTTTGGGCT